CCAATGGTAGAACATTTTATCTCACAAACATACACTTCCATGGAAAATGTTACCTTCTATTAGCAGATTTATGAGCCTGACATTACAAAATCTTCCCTCAAATTCCCCAGCACTAAAGCTAATGAAAAAGTTTAGATTGAATATTCTTGAAAGAGCCTAAAGCTAAATGAAATTTTCTCAATTAATGTCCCAGAACAGTGAGATCCTACAAACATATGTACATAAATAACCACCATATCATTCCCTTTGGGTTAAGCAACCATGCAAAGCACAGAAAAGAAGTAAGAATCAGCAAGTAGAAGAAATAAAAGGCATGGATATAATACCTCACTTTATTTCTCTAATTTTTTTTTATCACAACCACATACGATTTAAACACTGCCTTTTATTCTTTAAAATCCTTGTCCTTCCCTTTTTAAGGATCTCTTCATCCAACAAGGACTTTCTTGGTCTTCCCTTCCTCTTAACTAGTTCATTTTTCCTTCAAATATTTGTTTTGCAATGTGACCCTCATTCATTTTTTCTATGCGACCAAAACCACCTTAATGCTCAATGTTCTTCTTTTATCCTGGTCACACATTCTTGTGTTTGGTCCACATTCTTTCAGCACCCCTTAAAATTAGGTTCTAACTCATCACTATTGTTTTTTTGTGTTTTCCCTGACATGCCAAACTTTCATTTTCATGATTAAAGAGAGCGCTCTTCAATGTTAATTCCCATATACATCTCTAAAATATTCACTTCAGCATTCCCTTACCTCAGCTTTATCCCAAATAACTTTTATTTTTTAAATTCCATTTCATGGCAATTAAGGAGATAACTGGACACAATCGTGGCATTTTTACTATAACATAAGCAGAAATTCATCTTGATTAAACATCATATAGCATAATGTATAGATAGACTGTGTTGCAGTAGCATGTTGCATTGAATTAAATGATCTGGAGAATTTTTAAACCTCCGTTAAAATACGCAGCCACCTTTTTCAAATGTAACTATTTGCAGCAGTTTGTTGTTCATGTAGTATTAAAATAATTCCAAAATAAGGCGTGTGTAACATGAATCTTGCTTTAGCCTGTCTTTGGATTCTGATACCATAAGAATTGGTATAATTTTGATCAAAATGATCATTACACAAAGGAAGTAAAAAAAAAAGCTATAGGAAATGGCTAGCAAGGATACTTTCAAGTCATTTATGACAGGTGACATGAATTTCTCATAAAACTTTGTAGGAAGGAGAAATAAATTATTTTTATCTCCAAGGCCACAATTTCCAAAGCTGAGATCCCTAGAGAAATGCAGAAAGGTACTATGACTTATGTCTAATCTTTCTTTGCTTGGGTCCATTACAGTATGGAAATTGTAGATATGGAAATGGTCCCATCTGAGGGAGATGGGTGGTTAAGATGTATGAAATATGAATACATCTATACATAAAGTGTGATTGTAAATAACCACTTCCTGACTGTGGCAGATACAATTCTTCAGTCTGTTATTTCGGCAAAACAAAAAAAAACCCCTTATTTTAATGTATTCTAGTATGCCAGCTTAGTAAAAGGTTGTGCAATAGAAACTTTAATGGAATATTTTTAAGGATCCTGTCAGTAAGGTGGTAGATAGTACATTATTTTGCTTTGGAAGAAAGAGCTAGTTAACTTTGATGAATATATTCCTTAAAGTTAATTTCTACTGTCTTCACAAATCTCAGCAGCTAATCTAGTTCAGAAGCTAAGTAGGACTGGCCCTGGTTAACATTTGGGGACTGTAAGGGCATTCCAAGGCCTTAGGTTAAGAGCAGAATTGAAAAAAATAGTCTAGAAGAAAGCAACAGCAAAGATTTCTATGCAGCTATCAGAAAGATACATGGATCTAACTACGAAGTCAACAGAAAATGAGCTGAACTTGAGGATCTTTTACTTAAATCTTGCTCTGTTAGTATATTGTCTTTCTCCCAGACAAATGAGCCTAAAATTATATACTCTTAAAGGGATGGCTTCACTAGGGAATGTATCCCAATCAAACATTAACACTGCGATACAATTTTATCTGGTTTTGGCAGAATTTCTGAAGATTTAGCACAAGCTACTTCACTGATGCTGTTTCTGAATATATTATATTTTACTGAATATTAATGCACTTGTCATAAAATTGATATGGAACAGGGAATAGAGTTTGGAATATGACTAGAAGAAATCTTTCAAAATCCATGTCCAGCCAGTTTTAGTTTTCAGCCTCGAAGAGCTACATTTTGGGGAAGAGAAAATGGGTAAAATATAGGCTTTTCAACCTTTTCACCCATTGTACCACTTTTAGGATATGGCAACATCCAAGTACCACCAGTTGCCTAGCAAAGTGTCAAAAACTTGATGACCCCCCCCAAAAAGGGAAAAAGTGATAAAGTACAGGTAGACCTCGACTTACAACAGTCTGCTTAGTGACTGTTCGAAGTTACAATGGCACTGAAAAAAGTGCCCCCCAAGCCACAGCTGAGGAAGACACCTGCCTGCCCACCTGGCACTCTTCCTTCTGTCCGAGGTTTTCATTGTTGTGAGTGTTTCTGTTGAGCATAGGCAGTGGGGGGTGGGGTGGGGGTGTTTGTTTTTTATTCCCCCCATCTGCTGGGTGGTTGCAGCAGGTTTTGGTCACTTCACACGACCCTGGGACACTGTGACCATCATAAATATGAATCAGTTCCCAAGCATCTGAATGTAAATCACAAGACCTTAGAGATGCTGCAACATTCCAGCTGATGGGCACTTCTTCTGGGCTCAGCAGAAGTGCCAGGATCAGTGCTGTTTTCCAGCTGATTAGTGCTTCTTCAGGGCTCAGCAGAAGCACCAGGATCAGCGCCAAGCTCCAGCTGGAACCTGGCACTGATCCTGGCACTTCCACTCACAGCCCCGAAGCGCTGATCAGCTGGAAAGCGGCACTGATCCTGGCGCTTCCGCTGAGCCCTGACAGCCCTGCAGCTCCAGTCATCTCTCGCTCAGGCTTATGGGGTGCTGCCACCGGTTCAGCTCATTCCCCCACCACCACTTTTCTAGGATGGTCGCGTACCACCTTCCAGGTGCCAATGTACCACAGGTGGTACCCGTACCACTGGTTGAAAAGCCCTAGCCTAACAGAAAGGCTAGGTGCTAAAAAAGAAAAATAAGTATTGTTAATGAAGGCACTTTCAGAAGAAGGGAGTACTGCAAGCAAATTAGTGGAATAAATTCTGTTCCACTTTGAGAATTCCAAATGGATTTTGCATTTCCCCATGCAAATTGTTAGTCTTCCTCAGAGATCCCCAACCTTTTGGGCACCAGGGATCGGTTCCGTGGAGAGAGGTTTTTCCCCCGGACTGGAGGGTGCTGCCTGCATCCCATGGATGGGGCTTTGCTTATTTGTGCGGACTGGTTGCTGGCATGCCGCAGACTGATACTGGGCCACAGACAGAGGGGGGGGGGTTGGGGACCCCTGGTCTTCCTCACATTCTGCCTAATAGCTCTTTTGAAGCTTTTGCCAACCAATAGCATGACTTATAAGCGCAAAATATATTCCTTCATTATTCACATGTATTACAAATCCTCTTTTCTAAAAAGCCAAGGAAGGAAGGGAGGAAGGAAATGAAATAATCAAGATGCCTTTAGAGGAAAAATAAACCCGGGGTTTTTTAACTGAGCCTGCTGAGTCCTACTCTAACGTTATTCGGCTCAGCAAAAGATACTTTATCTGTACCCAGAAACTCGAAGGGGAAACATGCCCAAAGCAGCTCTGAAGCGAAGCTGCTGCAAAAGCCAAGTGACAGGAGCAGCCATCTCTTCTGCCCTTCATCCTTTTTTTTTAGCGTCCATCTGCAGCCCCCCTTCCCGCCCCCGCCGTTTCCCCCTCCTCGCAATGGCTGGGAGAGAGTCACTCCGAATCCTTTGCTCCTGCTACGAACCGACCACACTACCACCAAATGCCCCAGTGCGCTGAGTTACCCGCTGGGGGAAGAAGTCCCACTTTAATCCCCAGCGAGTCTCCCTCCCTGACCCAGATATGAAACCAGTGAAGGAGAAGATTTGTAGCGCAGGGTTGAAATGGAAGATACGAAAGCTCGCGCGCATTCCCTGGCCGTCCTTCTGGGAGAGAAGAGAACTTCTAAGTTAGGATCTGCGCTGCGACCGTTCCTGTACACAAAGCGGGTGTAAAAGGAACCTTCGTGCTTCTGAGCGCCTTGGACAAGCTAAAGCATCCTGCGGGGCAGACGAAGCTGTCGGTCCGAGTCCGACCCCAGTCGCTCAAAGGAGAAAATCACTGGGGAGGAAACTACTGCCGACTTAAGGAGCCGTGCAAACAACATATACACGCTGAGGCTTTGCATTGCAAAAACCCGCAACTTTTTAAAGGGTACATCTTATACCCCTTTGAGGCACGAATGGCCCTGTCCCCAAGATTTAACCCAGTGCGGGATTGCAAAGGTCACTTCTCCGAGTCTCCGTCCTTGGCGTAGCCTTGTACCTGTTCCCTCTCGTCCCGAATCCTCTCCTAGCTTTCTTACTCACGCTCAATGGCCGTCTGACAACGCACTGCTAGGCCAGCTGGACTTCTCCGGACAGTTCCGCCCCTCAAGGAAGGTCAGCTCGATCCGGCAGTCAGGCATCCTCGGTAAACCCTCTCCCTTGCACAGGTGCACGGGACCGAGGCGCGCATTTTGCAGTGTCCTTATCTTCCGCTTCCTTCAGAACCCGGCTAGTCTGTGACTCGGACTCCGTCGAGGAGAAAGCAGCCTGCAGCACAGCGGCGCCGATCGCACGGAGCGGGGAAACCTTCCCGGGGAGCGAAACTAAAGCGCTGCTAAGTGCCACGGAGCAGCGCGCGTGCCAAACGGATCGCGTTACAAAGCAGCCGTTCTTCTCCCAGAAAAACGGCTCTGCCGGCGGGGTTTGGCTACTCCAGCTCGACCGCCGGTTCCCACCTGAGCGTAGGTCCCAAACGCCTTTATAAGCAGCGGCAGCCACCGCCGCGCCACTTACCTCGCCTGGAGTTTGGTGCAGAACTGATGACCTGCAAAGTCTGCTGCAGCTCCGCTAGGCTCGGGCTCTCAGCGGCCCCTCATCGACACGCCGCCTTTGCTCCGGCAACGGCCTGAGAAGAGGCAGCGGCACAATTCTTCTGACGGGGCTCCTCCCATGGAGGAGCGGCGGCGGCGGCGGCGGCGGCGGCGGCAGCAGCTTGAATTACCCCGCCCCCGTCTTGCCCAGCTGGGAAGGAAGCCGTAAGGCTCCCTTCCAAGAGAGCGAGTCTAGGGCTGGCGATTCGCGGGGAGAACGCGTTGGCGTTGACTTCTTCTTGCCTCGCCGAGCAGTTTAGTTAATCCCGCGCTGGCCGGCGGGCTTTGGTGAATTAATCTGCCTAACTGCGGGAGCGCCACCGCGTCCCCCTGCAATGACTGGAGAGGCCGCTCAGCGCGCCAGTGGAACACCTCCGCTCTGCTCGGTGGAGGAGATTCCCTGAGGAGACAGAAGCACGAGGTCAAAGGGGGAGGCCTGCGAAACACGGGCGCTGGGTGCTTCGTCCCTGCACCAAAAATGCCCTTGGGGAAAGTCCTCGCCACCACCGGAGTCCCGGCCAATAAAAAAAAGCACCCTGTGCCTTTAGGCCCCGGCGCTCAGCCTCCTGACCTCGCTGCGGAGGCTGCCAAGGCGAGGAGTGAGGGAAAGGCGAGCGGCGAGCTTTACTCTGTCTCTCTCCGGGCGAATCCGTTCCCAACTGGAAAGAGCTCGCCTGCAAGGTCATTTCTGACAGCTGGTTTAGGCCGAGTACAAGAAGGGTGGGGGAAAATGTGGAATTAAGAGATGGGGGTGAGAAGGTGAACTTAACCAGGGTTCACTCTTCATCAGCCCTTAGGACTTAGGTGGATGGAAGCCCTGCCTTTGGATGCTTCTGTTACTTTGCTGGCTCAAGTTATTGGAAAAAATATAGATGGAAACAATGGAGTCAAAATGACTTATCCTTCTATGGGCCATTAGTATAGATTGTGAATGGTCAGCCATCTCCTGCCTCAATGACAGGCAAACCTGGGGTTGCAACTTGCATGTGAGAAAGGTGGTGAAGGAGGGGACAGGAAGGGAAGAGGCTCAACTCTTGCTGGTTTTTTCTTTTCTTACTGGGTTTTCAAGAAGAGTTGAATATCAGTGGCCCTGTTGTTGGAGGCACTTGTCCAAGCAGTCTCCCACAATAGCATCACAATGTTTTTTTCTGCTCATATTAAACTTGGGGGATTTCCAGATCAGACCTGGTATTGTGAACCTGGGATATTCCCAGATCCAATCTTAACTGAACCCTGGATTCTTTAAGCAATTTCTGTGGTGTGGCATATTATGCAGTTTTCTTAAAGGTGCATGGATGCAGAGCAGGATTAGTATTGATTGTGGATATTGTGATTCTTATGGCTGAATCCAATCCAGATGCAATTTCTAGTTGGAATGAAAGCCTCAAAAAACAAAACAAAACCCTAATAAATGGCCTGCTTCCAGCAGTTTAGCATTGTTCTCCTGCAGCTGGGTGCCATATTCTGGCTTGGATAGATGGCTTTTAGCAAACCGTAGGAAAAAAAATATTTGTTGGCATCTTTCTCCTGTAAGATATAGGGTAAAAATGTTAGCTAATGATGGTTGGCAAAATAGGGAAAGAGGGACCAGGAGTCAGGCCAGACCTGCCAGCAATTATTTCAATTTGATTTTGGCCTTGTATAGTATAAATATCACAGCAAATATTATGTATCGCCTAAATATAAATAAATATAAATAATCTAAAATTAATGTCTGCTACAGTCTCCAGTCTCTTAAGAAAGCAGGGCTCATTTTTTAAGGAGACTACATTTGACAACAAGCCCTGCACCAGAGGGAACACAGTACTTCCCAAATTTGTCTGAAGCAATGGGGCCCCATGAAAGGGAAGACTGTGAGTGACACCTGCTGGTGAGTTAGGAAAAGGCAGGCATCTGCTAGCCAGGATTCCTCAGTTTCTTAAGTCATCATCTGCATTTGAGACTCACCCACAGCCATCTTCTTCAGAGAAGAAAGAAGAATCATTTTTTATCCCCTTTTGTAAAATTCCTCCTTGTTATACTTCAGGTCTAGCAGACCTTTGTGCTTTTCCCTCAGGCAATCTCATTATTTCACCTGGAATAGTCTTGCTACAATATGAAACCTGCAGCTGGTTTGGGATGAGCACCGTGTGTTTGTGTCGGAGGGGTTTGCAACCACTCCACAGCTTAATTAACAATTTCTATGCTAAGAGTATTTGAATATACCATCCTTCCTCAGCTTTCTGCCTCCCCTCCCCCCCTGTACTTGCAGGCTACTACTTCTATAATATTCATCCACTCTTAGAAGTGCAAAGTGTAGTCCAACACAATAGTAAAATACACCAGGCTGGAGAAGACTGTTATATAGTAATGCAAACACCATAGGAAAATATATTGTCAGGAGGCAATCCCTTTCTCAAAAAGGGCCAGGAGTGGGTAAATGCCAGTCCTGGTTTCCATGGAAACATAGCTGCTGTCCCCAATAAGAATAGAATAGAATAGAGCTGGAGGGGACCTTGAAGGCTTTCTAGTCCAGCCCCCTGGTCAAGCAGGAGAACCTATACCATCTCAGGCAAGTGATTGTCTAGCCTCTTTTTAAAAATCTCCAGTGATGGAACACCCACTATTTCTGGGGGCAAGCTTCTCTCTTTGATCAGTTTCCAACCATTGTTTCTCGTCCTGCCCTCTGGTGCTTTGTTGAATAACGTGACCCCCTCTTCTTTGTGGCAGCCTCTCAAATACTGGAATACTGCTATCATGTCACCCCTGTTTCTTCTTTTCTTTAGAATAGCCAAACCCAAGTCCTGCAGCAGTTCTTCCTATGTTTTAGTCTCCAAGCCTTTGATCATCTTAGTTGCTCTTCTCTGAATTTTTTCCAAACTCTCAACATCTTTTTTTTACAATCTTTAATTAATTTTTTTAAAATCACAAATCCTTAATATTTTATAAGCAACATGTTTTCTGAGTTCCAATATTTAGTTTACTAATACATGTAAAATTCCTTTCTCTCTACCTCGTTTTTCTAGCCATTGATAAAATGTATCCCATGTTCTGAAGTATTCTGAATCTTCTTTCTCTTTCATTTTCAATGTAAATCTGTCCATTTCTGCACAGTCCAAAATGTTCTTGATTATCTCTTCCTCCACTGGTAATTCTTCATCTTTCCAATGTTGAGCAAATACAATTCTCGCTGCAGTTAGTACATGTAACATTAAATATACACATTCTTTCTCATAATTTCCTACAATTATACCTAACAAAAATAATTCTGGCTTAAAATATATATGTTTTTTTATCATTTTCTCTAACCATATATGTATTCTTGACCAAAATCTTTTGGCTTTAGAACATGTCCACCAAAGATGATAATAGGTGCCTGGGTTTTGTCTACATTGTCAACAATTGCTAGACATATTTTTAAACATTTTTGCTAACCTTATAGGTGGAAAGTGCCATCTATAAAATATTTTATATAGGTTTTCTTTGTAGGCCATCACCTTTAGTATGTTAGAGTTTCTTTCTCAAAGACTTTGCCAGTTTTCTAACTCTATGTTATGCCCAAAGTTTTTTGCCCATATTATCATTGTTTCTTTGACTTGTTCCTCTTCAGTTTAACAAAGAGGAAAGAGTGAAGTCGGTATGTAACTATTTGAAGTAAATATGCTTGGTCTCAAAGGTGCTTTTTCAAGAGGCAACTGGATTTTCTTATTTTTGTTTGAAGATGTTTCGCTTCTCATCCAATAGAGTTGAAGAAGCTTCTTGGATGAGAAACAAAACATCTTCAAAGGAAAACAAGAAAGTTCAGTTACCTCTTGAAAAAGCGCCTTTGGGACAACCATGAGCTGGATGACTGAGAATCTTCATAGACATAAACATGCTTAGATAGTTGCAGTAAGGCATGGAATTAAGTAGCTGTTATAAATTCTTCATTGAAAGGGTTGGTTTTGAAGAGGGAATTGAAAAACTGCAGTTACACAAATATCCTTCTTTCCCCAGTTACAAGAAAAAAAAAATCATAGTAGCATCTTCCACCTTGACATGAAGTTTCTGCTAAGCAGACCACAAACATTTGACTTTCTATCTCCTCGGTTTTTCTGCTCCACCAGCTTTTACAGAGCACTTTGTCCCCTCTTGCCTTTTCCATAATATAGAGGTGGTTGCTGTGATTCGAAATTGTCACTTTCTGTTATTTCTAAACAAGATAAAATGAGAATATCTGCAAGTGGAAGAGAGAGGTTTTCTGAATACTGGTGATTCCTCTGAATAAACTCCGCAGTCCACACTTTATAGCTAGTTCCATTTCTACAACAACTCAATTACTGATCCCACTTTATCTGAATGTTGTCAATGCCTGGCTTAAATTGTAACTGAATCATAGGTAAAATCAATAAACCGCACATGAACAAGAAAAGGCAGATTTTTTTTCTCATAAAAGAACACATTTTGTCCTAATCAGTAGATCTTTCATAACACTATTTATTAAACTGCTGTCTGGGATTATTTATTTACTACATTTATATCTCACTGCAATCCAGTTAAGATTTCTCAGCCATTTATCATTGTTTATTACAGTACTTGAAGGTTGTCCCACTCATGAGACTCTAGACCAGGAGTCCCTAACACCCGGGCCACGGGCCACTACTGGCCTATTCACAACCAGGCCAAGGGCTAGTACACAGGCACGCACACCTTGACTTGCGTGAGCAGCGGGTGGGTGTGCATACCAGTCGTGGGATTCAAATATGTGAACAACCGGTTTTCTGTGTGGATGCTGCTTCCATAAGTCCATTCTGGGCTTGGGCAACAAAAAATTAGCTACCAGTTCTGCCAAACTGGTGCGAACTGGCTGAATCCCACCATTGGTGCATACGCATGTGTGCACAGCTCCACTTGCAGTCGAGCAGCTTGTGCATGTGCGTGCCTGCCCATCGCTCATGTACCCCGATTCCCCTTTCCCCCCCTCCCCAGCCCGGCGGTCAGGCCGTAAAGGTTGGGGACCGCTGCTTTAGATAGTATAACGTAAAGCAGTTAGGAAGGTGCTCTTCTCATAATGGGGATTGTTTGTAGTATTAGTATTTTCATGATACTGAACTGAATATGTTCACTTTTAAATTGCTGTAACTCCGAATATTTCATTTAACAGTTAGTTCAAATATTTTTCTCCTTGAACACAGAACATGTCTGCATCGGAGATAGCCAGGGAAGCAGGGGCAGCACAAAAACTATTTGTTCATCCTAATATGTCTTCTTATAACAGCAGGGGTTGTTTATTCCCTTTATTCTGCTACACTACTATCATGGGGCAACCCTTCGTCTGAACCTGATCCACCAGCTCACCAAATCAGAAATTAAGTCACCCTAAGTCTAGAACTCTCCAACTAGGACCAATCATCCCTAGCCATTATGAACTACTTTGGTCATCCACTAGGCTAATATTCAGATTGGAGTACTGTTCAGAGTCTGAACAATTGACATGAATACATAAAAGTCAAAGGGCTACCTTTAAGGAAACATTTTTGGTAGATAATAACTCCCAAAATGTAGAAAATCTGCTTTGCCCTTACCAGTTATGCCTTTAGGAATGGGCCATAAATGCTGAAAAGA